TCATTGTTAGCTTCTTTCTCCCTCCCTCCTTCTCTCTCTCTCTCTCTATTTATGTATTTATCTATCTACCTCACCACATAAGCTGAGTGGTATTTAGATAATTAGTAACATCACGATATACGTGTTTTGTTTCGAAAATAAATCGGAGATAGAATATTCGTCGAAATATATATATATATATATATATATATATATATATATATATATATATATTGCGCTCACGATAGTGGCGAAATTGCGAGATCGATAGTATCTCGCGTCCGCGCCAAGTCCAAAGCAGTAGAATCAGAGAAGCGTGATCTCTGTGGCAACTTATCGGCGAATGAGAAAGAAGAAGAAAAAGGAGAAGTAGAAAAAGAGAAAGAAAACCCGGATGTGTCGCAAGACTGTATCTCTTCTTCTTCGTCTTCTTCTCCTTCATCTTTTCTCTTGTCCTTCTCTCTTCTCGGCCACGCTTTTCTCGTTACTTTCAGCGCAGTATTGGCCTCTTGCCGTTATTAATGTTTTTCTCATTTCGATTTCGGGACCCGGATACCACGGATACGTATACAAACACAGACACATACACGTCCCGGAGTTAATCTCTTAGCAGCCAACGTCCTTCCATTTACAGGACACTTCAAAATCACTCGAGATTAATATATAATATTACTTTTGTGTTCTCCACACCTATACAATTCCCTCTTTTATTCCTAAACACGTAGAGAATTTGATAGCAAAAATTACTATAAAATTTTATAGCCCAGCAATTGATCGATATTCTGCAGTAATTCATTATCCTTTCACTTCATACACTGAGAGAAAAGATATCTAAGAAGTAAATATTTATTCGATAATAAGACATACTAATAAGACATTTACTTATATATAAGATATTTTTTAAATATACATTTTCTTAGGATCGTAGTTTCTCGTAAACACAACTGTTTATTCTATATATTCTTTTTATATTTTTATTATTTATATATATTATACTTATATATTTTTTTATTTTTTAAATATCTTTTTCTTAGTGTATGTGCTACTTATATTTTGGAAACTGAAACGTGCTGTTAAAAAGTTTGCTACGTTTTTAGCGAAAGTTGCTATAAAGTTCTTTAAAGCAAGATAGACCTTACTAACAGTCTATTCCTGCAGACATACTTGACAACTTATTTGTAGAATATAAAGTTTATTTTTGCAAATAAACTTCATATCCCACAAATATAAATCTGTTTGCAAGTCATTTAACCATCAGCTGATTTCTCATATCTAGACAATTTTCACTATGATTGCCTATTTTTCGAGTGATATAAAAAAATTAGAATATTTACATTATATATATTCTCTTTGTGTAGAGCTTCTCCCTTCTTATATATATGCCTTCAGTAAAAATAATCCTGACGTTACTACGCGAGCCCTCCAGGCAATAAGCAGGCCGACCCTCGAATTAAAAATATTCCTGCGCTAATCACGGCCTTCGACGCGGTCGTTACGGTCTCTAAGTTGCCCTCGTGCCGCAGGTGTTCTCCAAAGCGGACATCTGGTTCAGCGCCGACGGCGAGACCTACGAGGACGAGCCATTGCCTTACTCCTACATACCAGACCTGGTGCTGGAGAACGCCCGGAACGTCTCGATCGGTCTCCACGGACGACGCGGCCGCCTACTCAAGTTGCACCTGTACTTCGCCGCGCGATGGATCATCATCAGCGAAGTGATGTTCGACGCGAGTGAGCCTCCACGTACCCACCTTCTCCCCCGGCGATAATAATTTTCTTCTAGAGAGTTCACCCCCGTCTCTCCCCCGAAACCCCAGTTTTCTTTCTTTCGCGCTTTCTTCGTCCGTTCTCTCCTCCCGTCCCACTTCTTCCGCCGTCATCGACCGTGAGAAACAATTTGTCACGTTCTTTGGGATTTTCCGCGGGTTTCTTCGGACACGCGCGTGTTACCCCACGACGACCTACATGATACTGACCCCGAGACGACATCGACGACGACGACAACGTGGAGGACCGAGCGCGCACTTAACCGTAATTCGCGGATCGTGGACGCGCTTCGAGGAATCTTGTAATGAACGAAGTTATAATGCCCCCGCCAGAGGATTATCCCGTTCCGCCGCAACCCCCGTTCCGAGGACGACGGCGGCAGCGACGACGACGACGACAACGACCACGACTTCAATTACCTTTTAATAACCGCCGCGCGTCTTTGTGCCCTGAATATCCGCGGCCGTATTTCCCCGATTTCGTCGCGCTAATGATCGTTTAACTTGACGACATCGACACGATATGGACGCGCTCACTGCACGACAATGTCGCTTGAATCTTTGCGCGCGAAACGCATAACTCTTTTAATGCAACTCTAAATTTTTTATCGCCCTCCCAGCGTTCCCAACGCGACAACAGAAATTGCGCGCGGGTAACTGCGTCTCGCGCGAGCGCGTGTTTTATTAATCTCTATTCCGGGGCTCCTGGTATTACCGCGTTACCGAGACGGCCTCGAGTGACCTCGAGTGTGACGCCGGGATTTTTCTCCCTCCCTCCCTCTCCTCCCTTTAGCGTTCCAGTCTCAAAGAGCGAATAGTTATCGTGCCTTTCACACCGTGCCGATGATCCGCGCCTTTATCTTTGCTCGCGCGTCTCTCTCTCTCTCTCTCTCTCTCTCTTTCGACGTCCTCGTCTTGTCCTCGCAAATCCCTTACGCAGATCTCACGACACTCATCATGGATTCTAATTAGCTACAGCTATTTTCCGCTTTCAGCGAATCCCTACGAAAACACCACGGAGGAGGCGGCGTCCGAGTTCAGCAACCGGGAAATTCCAGTCAACCCCGAAGTGGATCTCAACTTGCAAACGAGTAAGTAACTAAAGAGAGAGAGAAAGAGAGAGGGAGGGGAGAGAGAATTTAATTCGTATCAATCTCGTTCTAATTAAGCGCCGGGCACTAGAAACTTTTCATCTCTCGTACCGTATGTTTCTAAGTAGGCAGCTCCGAATTTTCAAGAGAGAAAGAGAGAGAGAAGAAGTGAAAGTACTTCATGCGTTCGATATTTCACGTCTTCGAATTTTAAGTTGGCCGACAATCAGTTTAAATGACACTGGCCGACAATCAGGAAGGATATCAAGAATTAATTTCGCCCCTGATTACTAGATCACAAGAAATAATTGCGCGGTTTGTAGATAGATAGATAGATAGATAATATATTTTGGAGCAAAGTTGGACATTCTGATTGGAACCTAATCTGCACTTGAGAAAATGCTGAGAAATTTCTATGCGGGTTTCGTCGTTTCAATATACACACATACACACAAACAGACACGTTAGCTTTACTACGGATTTTGTATTATTCACACGGGAACTTGACAGCATTTCTCCGAGCGACTTAATTCATTTAATAGATTACCGCGCAGTTGACGTTCGACAAATAACGTGTTTCACGCGGCAAATAAGCTCGATTATTTCACGGTGTTATACACGGCGTGTACGTTTGCTTCGCTATAACATAGGGGGCGTTCGCGTATTTATCATTTACCATAATGCGCGCGGCAGTTGTCTCACCTTCGTCGTTCTCTCGGCTCACGTTGATTTACCACGCCGCGGTAAAGATATCGTCAGTCGGAACATCAGAACTGTAACGCACGAACGGCACGAGCTTCGATGTATCGAAGTCAATCCAAAAGTTCGATTGGACTTTTTAACGAAATTAGACCCGCTCGTATTCAGTGGGAACAAATCACTCATCAATCAAGTAAAGTGTCTGTGACCTTTTGCCGACGTATAGCACGTCGATATTGTCGGAATTTCATTATTGTCTAACATATTGTTGTCACGTGTTATTGTCGTTGTCGTTCAATATATTGCTGTCGTGTGTCATTGTCATGTATACACGCAGAGAATTTTTCTCTAAGATATAATTTGTTCACCACACAATCTTGTCCAGCCAGAATACATTTAATAATGTAGAAAAAATTTCGAGAAGATATGGGAGAGTGCGTTTAGCCCCATATTGCGGTATTCGAAATCTTAAATTATTTTTGGATAAAATTGTAGCTCTTCATGAGTAAATTAAAGATATCAAAATTATATGCCTCACCATTTGAGAGGAAATAGTCTAGGATAGTATATTTATCAGTAAGAGAAAAAAAGATAATAAAATCTTTATCAATACAGATTATAAATGCTGATGATATTTATTAATTTAAAGTAACTCTTTTATCCAGCTTCAATTAACTTGATCGTCGATTTAATTCTGTTAATTGTAATTAACAGAATTGGCTAATAACTACTTACTGGTCACAATCGACGATTAAGTTAACCGGAGCTCAATAAAAGAGAGTCACTGTAAATTAATAAATATTATTAGCATTTACAATCTGTGCAAATTTTGGCTGCAGCATAAATATGGGTGTCGCGCAAGTCTCGTAAATTATATAATACTATTAGTCTGCTGTATTGCTCGACAAAGATGTTCTGCGTGTGTGCATACGACGCAATCTATCGGAAATTAAATGAAACTTTTCGACTGATCCCAAACGAAGTTATCTCATCCCGCCTCCTCGAGTGCGGAAACGCACCCATTCGCTCCGGAGAGAGCACCCGCGACGTTTATGACTAACGTCGTTAGAGCGAAACGAAGCCGTGTTTCTTCGCCGCAAAGATGCGATTAAGAAAAAGTCGTTGACGTCCGAGAAGAGGAGGAAGAAGAACGCCGTGGCGCACTTTATAATTCGCCTGGCAACTTCCTCGTAACGTAAACAATTAGCCGGGTCAAGAGGGGCAGCGCGTTTGACGAAGGACGAGGGATGAAAAAGGGGAGAACCGCGGAGGACGGGAGGAGAGCGGACTCGCAACTCCGCGGGGCGTAATTACGTATAGCTGACAGTTTGTGCCGAGACGACAAATCCTGCGGCGCACTTTCCGCATCGCGGGACAAGCTAAGAACACGCGTTTTCCGCCTGAGCCATTGGATGTAATCAAAGGGGAGAATTGCTTATCCGGATAAGAAATTAAAAAGCACAACTGCGCTAGTCGCAAGAGGAGGATAAATGGGGGCCAAGTCGGCATCGACGGCAATGTTACGCGTGGACGGTGTGTATGCGTGTGTGTGGACGGCATAAATACCACCGAGATATATTACAAGTATATTTTTAATCGGAGCACACCACGTGTGATACACACACACACACACACACACAACGCACATAAGCGCACGTGCGATCGAGCCGCACACCTATGCGACGAGTTTTAATCTAACGCGCGGATCTCCGACACGACGAACGAAACAATCGCATTAGCTCTTGAACGCTGCGCGCGTGCGCACCCTGCGTCGACCCGAAACGTATGATAAAGGATACGGAGTACGGCGCGTCAGGCGTTACAACAAAAATGCAAACAAAAGGCAACAATTTGTCACCCGAATAGATAGAGAGAGGCGCGCGCTACACACAGCGCGGGAAATTACGTTACGGAAAGAGGAACGAGGATGAAAAAATGGAAAAAACTTATAGCGCCATCGCGCTAGGAGACAGGATGTGCAGAGAGAGTCAGAGAAAGAGAGAGAGAGAGAGAGAGAGAGAGAGAGTGCAGAATGGGAGAGGAAGAAGGGGAAAGATACAGATAACAGGAAGTGTGCAGTGGATAAATGAGGGCGCGGTAGGAGGATGCCGGGAAGAATGCTTGAACGCGGCATAATTACGATTCCTCTGATATAACCAGCTCCGCCAAAACGACTCCCACCCCTTCCTCCCCTTCCACCTTGCTACCCGCGGCTCTGTGTGACACCCCGTCGAAAAAAATAGACCGTGCACCTTGCCGGTTTGCCGTTGTAAATAAAGGAAACGCGCGGTTCCGCAAATAAAACAGTCGCGAAATCGCCCACCGCCGCCGTCGCCGCCGGCGCGGATGCAGCAACGGCTCCCCCTGGAGTCGAAAAAAGACGGCATGCCGGACAAGAGAAGGGCACGAGCAAAGAGCGAAAAAGGAAGTGGCGGGTGGGGCGAAAACAACATGTAAGCCGGGCGTCCGCTTTACGGCAGCCTGAATTCAAAAGGATGCACTCGCTATCCGCTAATATAGTTTTTGCAAGCGCAAGCGCGACCATTTTTTGCGTTCACGGACCCGCGCAGTCGGAAAAGCCGTAGAAAGAGCGGCGCTTTCATAATTCAGTCGCTGATATCCGCGCGATCGATTATGCGGATTAGCCGACGTTTGATTCGACAGTGCGCGGGAGACAGGATTAGAGAAGAGAATGGGAATGGCAGAAAAAGAATAGGAAAGAGAGAGAGAGAGAGAGAGAGAGAGAGAGAGAAAGAGAGAGAGGGGGAAAAGGCAATCAAGGGAAAACTGTACAGAGGGAAGAGGAGGAGGGAAGATAGTATTCGACTTCTCATATAATTACATATCTCTAATGGACCGCGCGAATGGTGAACTCTTTATCTTCATTCTCCCGTGATTACAGATATTTTCTCCGGTTAGTTGCAAATAAAGACGTAGAGGCAGGCTAGCTCGAGGAAATGAGAGGCGCCGTGAGTGCGCGCATGCGCGAATATCGCAAAAGTTCTCGTGCGAAATTCTCAAACTCTCCATCCGCGACCCACTGCTTGTTGCCGTATTTTTGTTATAGCTAATAATCATTTGCATCGCGCAGATATTAATGGCGCTGAAGTACCTTCACCTATTATGATAATATTAAGCGCATTCACGAGAGCGTGTGCTCTTAAAAAATTTGGAGGGTAAAAGAAATATGCGCTGGAGAGTAAGTTTTACCCTCCTTCTCTCTCTCTTTTTCCTTCTCTCTCTCTTTTTCCTTCTCTCTTCACATCTCTCTGTCCCTCTTCTGCTTTATTTTTATAACAAGTCGTAAGGTTGCTAAAGGGGTAGGCAGCCGACCTCTTTAAAATTCGCGACGCGTGCAACACGTGCAAATGGGACTAAAAATAGAACAAATAAATACCACGCGATGAAAAGAAGGAAACGCGGGAGAAGGGGTGAGAATGACCAACTCGAGTTTAGCAACGCCCGGCCGAAATGGTGTTCTGAAAATCCCATCGGGCCGATATGGGCGCCGCGGAATCCGCTAAATACGTTTCAATGCGCGGCTACGAGTAAAGCAACGATAAGCCGAATGCCGCGGCTCGATTGGACCGAGAAAGGGAGGAAAATAAAACAGAAAGTAAAACGAGTCGCGTGTGTGCAGCGCGCGATCAATGTGTGTGTGACACGTTGTTGCGAAAGCAAACAGAACCAGAAATTGTGTGATAAAAGGGCCGAGAGGGAATGAGCGCGGCAAGAGCAGCGGGGGAGAAGGCGAGGATCCAACAATAACAGGCTCAACTGATACACGTAATAGCGGGCCCCGCGGTTTCATCTCCTAATGCCGTTAGCTGTCGTCCCCTGAAGAGCAGAGGACCGAAACGCGGAAAAGAAGTGAATGAAAGTACGGGAACAGTGAGGGAGGAAGGGAAAGAGAGGGCATAAGGGCGGGAATTAAAAGCGTTTCCGCGCTCCTCCGGGCAATTTTCTTTTTCCGTTTAACGACGGAGAGGATGCCGTCATTTAGAAGCCCGATTTTCCCGTCGTGCACATGTCGAGCGCAGCGGTAGTACCGCGGTTTCGCGGTTCCTGCTCGCCGCGAATTAAGCGACGACAGAGTCGTCGTCGTCGTCGTTGTCATCGGCCGACGCGATTTCCCGGCCGGCTTTATTCCCCCGCGCTTGATCGAAGAAAAGTCCCCAGTCGTCGGCGTCGTCGACCTGATCTCGATCGTCACGCGAGCTTAACCCCCTCGACGAACTTATTTATTTCCATCGTCGGTGAAAAAGAGTGCGGCAACGTTGCTGTAGCTTCGGGGCATTTGGCGCGGACAGCGGGACACGACGAGGGATAAGCGCGGTTTTTTGCAACGTGAATCGATAACGGCGAGTTACGAAGAGAGAGAATGTATGTGTGTGAGAAAGAGAGGAAGAGAGAGAGAGAGAGAGAGAGAGAGAGAGAGAGAGAAAGAGAGAGAGAGGCAAATACAGAATCCTAGGCGCGTTTTATAATCGATAAAATTGTTCCCCCGCGGACTTGCCTCAAATTTCAGGTTTCGGGAAACCTGTGTCGTGAGTTTGGAGTGACACGCGTGCTAGAGCGGAAAATTTGCTCGACCACTGTGCGTCACCGGGTCCAATACGTTGGACTTTAACGGCGACGTCGCGTATTCTGTGTGTCCCTATAAATCTGTATAGTTACAGCGCCGGGAGACGGTCAAGAATACCTGGAAGTGTTGATCGGGGTACTTACTGCCATTATACTGCTGCTGCTGTTGGTCTTCTTCATCATCTTATTCCTGAACCGACGGCAGAAGCTGCAGAGCTCCCCGACGGTGTTGAAGAATCCGTTCGGCTTCGCCATCAATATGAAGGTACGGCGAAATCGGAGCGTATCGTGCGACGAGGATGGCACTGCTAATTTCTGCAACAAAGTTAACAACAAAAGATATTAGTGGTGAAGATTCAGGAGAGAGAAATTAATTATTGCGTGTGTATATGTGATACACAAGCAAATACATGAAATGATACAATCCTCTGAAAGTTTTGCTCGTTGAATGCCGTGATGTGTGTGCAATCTAAACTGATCGTGAAAAATTATAATATTACCGCGTCTCATATTACATACGCACGTTATACATAAAGTACGATTAACGGATGAAAAATCAGTTGCATAACCAATGAAACGAAATGAGAGATACTTGTGCTTGAACTATATTTAAGATGATTGTTTTTATCATGATTTATCGTCGAGAAATAACCAACAGTAAATTCCTTGCGCCTTTTGCAGGGTCTTTTACTGAATTTGACGCCCGGCGGGATGCTGACGGCGGAAACCGCCAATCATGTATCACCGGACATACCGGAAGACGTGAGCATGCACGAGTCACTCACCATGGAGCAGTTTAACTCGCCGCTCGTCAGCCCTCAGTACAAGTCCACGTACGCAATTGTAGCGAGCTCCGGTGAGTAAACGCGTCGACGCGTTTTCAAAAGAAAACAGACAACCAGGACAGGTATTATGAGACTATGCGCGCCGAAAGTGTCCTACGTGACTCAACGTATGCGAAAAAATTATCTAAGGTCGATCAGTTATTACAATATCATTATTCCCTAAACTTCTATTGTGTTTCCTGAGAAAAACGAGAGTGATCTCCGATCAAACCTGCCCGAAGATTGCTCAACACCTAGAGCGATGCCGAGCCGATCTCGAAGACGCGAGGCTCGCGGCCGGGTGACTGAAATCGCGATCGTCCTTCCAGAGTCCCCGAAGGACTTCCAGAACATAGAAATCCCGGAAGAGAGCGTACGACTGGACGCGCGACCGGAGTCTGCGGTCGGCCCGTCCAGCTGCTCCTCGTCGCCGACTAACTCGCCGGCTCGTCATTCCCAGCACTACAGGACTCTTCAAAGTTACAGCAGTCCAACTAGGAAACTCAATATCGCGGTTACGCCCAATCACCAAAGGGATGTCGATCAGGTTCACTCGAAGCGCTGGCACACAGCGCCAAAGGAGAAGCACAAGGTACATATTAGTTGTACAATTTGACGGTACATTTGACTGATTGCGCGGCCAAAGGGGAAAGTACGGACGCGTTACGTTCCTACGAAAACCGAAAACCAAACTCGCGCGAGCTACTTCACTCACTTGACTTCCCCCCCGACGTAATTTCTACGTGCCCGCCGACGTATTTGTCTTGTTACGAGGGAATTTATTTTAGAAGAGGGAAACATAGGAAAAGAGAAAGAGAGAAGGGGAGACAGAGGAGAGAGAAATGACTGCTACGGGATCACGACGATAACGAGAGCGCGCGTCTCATTTGCAGATACCAGCGCCCGTCGTCAATTGGAACATCGCACCTAGTATGAACAAGCCGTACAAGTGCAAGGAAATAGAGCCAACCAATATACCACGACAGTGCCTACGAACGACGGAGAAACTCGGCTCGCAGAACGTAGGAGAGGTGCGGACAACAACGATACGCCGTTCGTGAGAGCGCGCGTGACCATGAAAATCGCATGTTACAGAAACGCATTATACGTGACGAACACGTTGTCGCGGAATACGCCACCTTATCTCTCTAAATCTCTTCGGGCGAAATTCCCCTCGAAGTCGAGTAGCTTTTCGCTGATGTAGACTCAATTCTTTCATAAATACACTGAGAGAGAAATATTAAAAAATTTATTTGTCGAGTTTATATTCGTAAAAATGAACTCTCTTTCACTGAAAGAAACTTTATTTTGGAGAACTAAACTTTATATTTTACAAATAAATTATTCAAATATTTTTTTCTCAGTGCATACATTGTCTTACGTCGAGGAAAAAAATACTTGAAAATGTATTTGTGGGATATAAGGTTTATTCACAGAAATAAATTATATATCCTACAAATAAACGTTCAAGTATTTATTTCTCAGTGTGGAGACTCAAAATTCAAAAACTAGGACAATTTTTCGAAAAATCATAATTCATTTATTTAATTAAATGAGAAGATGTCCGAAATAACATTTTTCAAGAGATTGTTTTACTCTTTGAAATTTCGATGCATTCTTTTTCGAGACAATGTATACTCACCAATTCTTCCACCGCGCACCACCGAGTGAACATTTTCACTCGAAATTGAAGAATGGTTCAAATGTACAGTCAGATAATTAAAAACTGCGACACTTTTACCTAGATGAGTTCCGCAACGCATCCCGTATCCAACAAAATGTTTCTTCTAAGAATTTTAATGAATTCTCCCAATGGATACGTGGCGAAATTCATCGAGATAAAAATATCGCAACTTTTAATCATCTAACTGTATATCTAAATCGCTGCTTTCCCGCAATTTTTTTCTATATATAAAATTTTACTGATAAATATTAAATATTAAATATGCTTTTTCTGTATCCGTTTCTTTTTTCAATTCCATATAATATGTATGATTTCTACTAAAAAAGAAAAAAAAAAACAAAAGATATTTCGTTTGAGGCAAATATTACAAGCTTGAATCATCTGACTATACTTCGTTGCTACTGAGAGACACATTAGAGACACTTCAATCGAATTCACTTGTATACATTAAAGCTCATATTAATATTTGTCGCCTAAAACTCATCTCATATGAGACATTCAGATTTTTATTTAAAGTTAAGTCCAAGTTCTTCAACTAAATTGTGATATGTGCGACATTTATATCTGTAATTAGAATTTAATTGAAAAATTTTCATTGAGCAATAGATGCTCAAATCTGAGTATCTCATTTGAAAAGAGTCTCAAGTAATAACTATCAATATGGACCTAAAAATCTCACCACCTTATGTTTGAATTAAATATAGCGAGTTTAATCACAGTTTTTTATTCTGAATATTCATTTATATTAAATATTAATTTATATTAAATATTCATTTATATTAAATATTGATTTCGAATAGTGATGTTGATTTCGAAAGATATCTTCATTATTGCTTTGAGTGAAGATTCATTTATTTCCAAATTTCGCTCGAAGGAATTCAAAGAGCGCTCGACAAAATGTCGACGTTAAATGATTTCAGCGCTTATTTTGGCAATGTGACATTAACGTGTCAGCGCTCGAACGATACGTTGAAAAGAAACGCCCGCATCGTAGCGGCAGATGCGTGTTTCTGGATCGCTCGTGCTTAATCGCGGACGGCGTGCGGGCTGCGGCGAAACGCAATTTACATATTTATCCTGCCGACATACATACGTTACATTCGACAATGCTAATATGTACCTGTTTGTTGTGTTAATACTTTGGAACTTCGATATGCACAGCAATATGCGCGTGTATGATCACGTCGAACTTCGATGTATGCTGTTTATCGGTTCATGCACCGTCAACTCGTCATTCTTAACTCGACACGTAAAATCGATCTAATTAATATTACCGGCGAGGAGCTGTTGAATCATGCTCGTAACATTTTTTCACGGACACGTATTGTTCCGGAAAGAGAAAGAATATGCCGAAATTCGAGCAAAGTGAGGCAATTCCCCGAGAAGTTTATTCGAAAAATTCGAACAAATTCGGACATGAAGACAATCTCACGAAATGTGCGACAAGCGCATTCAATATTCATCAATTAAATTTTATACGGAAAAAAAATTAATCGCGGGAAAGCTGTGTTTAAGCGTTCAACCCAATTTTCCATGTACAAAGAAAATTTTTTCGAAAATATGCAGTTGTCTCGAAAAATCACAATATTGAAATTGGTACAACGGGACGATGCATCGACAAATTATTGTTGTTCCTCTTATTGTTATTTCGTCTAAAAACTGTATTTTTCGGTAAATTGTCTTTTTGTATCGATTTTAATATTAAAGTAAATGTACCACTGCCCGGACACATACTTAATCCTGGACATATTTATCGTTTTGATTTTCAAATACAAATATTTAAAATTTCAACGTAAAATGTATGTAAAATATATTGAAAAATGTACATAAAATATATTGAATATATACATATTATATTGAAAATTTAAATATTCGTATTTAAAGAGCAAAAGATTAATATAAGATTTGAGTATATTAAGTGGACAGGGGATATATAACACACATTTGAAAACATCTTATTTTCAATCCAACATTTCGTGCTTTTCATTAATGAAAATTATTTTTTTAATAATAAGAACACATCATATATAAGAACACATAATAAAAAAACATCATATAAAATATATATTCTTGCGAATAACTTGTTCTCGTTTAACGCTATGTGATCTCATATGAAGATTAACATGTCAGGAATAAATGGCGAATTCAATTGGAAGCACTAGTCCACACCAGTGCACCCTAAAACCGTTTCATAGTCCGTTCTTCATTTAAGTTTGGCTTAAATTCGCCTCTGAATGCTCCGTAATCAGCGTAATAGTTTGTATAAGATCTGAAGATAAATATAAAATGATTTTTAAATAGAAGATAAAACTCTATAAACACAGCTGAAATATAAGAACAGACTATGAATTAGCTTTAGTGTGTACTGGTGCGCACTAGTGCTTCCAATCGAATTCGTCAAAAGACACTTTCAAAACAAGAATTTCTTTTGTGTACTTTTACCCTACAGCTTTTCTGCCGTTTTTTATTGCATGCTTCGAATATTTCGGGAAATCGTCTCTCAAATTGGAGAATTTTGATTTTCCAGAATATTGCATGTCCACCACACTTATTTAATTTTTACGGCAGTAGGTGTGTCACGACGGTTCGCCACAGTTCGTTTAGCCCGGGGCTCCCCCCGACACCCCCGAGAAACGGAGAAAATTTTGTAATACAAATTATTATTGAATTTCTGCCAACCGGCGAAAACATCACGACGTACAATTTGTTATCCTTATATTTCTTGTGAATTGGATAAATTATTGGAAAAATTAATGTACTTTCTTTCAACTAAATAAGTCTAAAATTAATGACTTGTAAAATTAACATACCCAACTTTTTGACTGTTTAAATAAATTACGCGAGGACTCAACGGTCGCACGGTCTCACTTTTCAGGCTATAATATGCGAAGCGGTGGGTCTGGACGAGGTCGTGTCCTGCGCTCCCCGATTAGTCGTCGCCCGAGTGCCTCTGTGCACCGGCGGTGACATTCGGACTAACAACGCGGTCGACCAGATGAGGGAGGTGCGATTTCTATCGTGCCTATCCGACCCGAACGTGGCGCGAGTTCTGGGGGTGTGCGCGGTCGAGCCGGTGCCGTGGACGATCATCGAGTACACCGAGCTTGGGGATCTCGCTCATTACCTGCAGTACAGCGTACCGCTCACGGGAACGCTCAGGCCGAATTGCAACTTGAAAGCTCTCAGGTAACATCTCCCGCGGCGATAATTATTTCAACAACTCTTTGGGGACAACATTCGTGAACATCGCAGAAGAAAATGATTCAATTCTAAAGAGATTATCTGTCAGTCGAGAGCGACGAGATTTGAAGATCAAATTTAATATCAAAGAAGATGTGACTCAATCCTAAAGAGATAGACATCTGTCAATCGAACGACGAGATTTCTCGTTTTCTCATGAAATTTTTCGGTGAATGTCCATTCACCAATGTACACTGAGAGAAAAATATAGTTGCTTTCGGCGTCAACTATACTTTTTTGTGATTTTAATTAAAAATAATTAGAAGATTATTAGAACCATCTTTCTAATAACATTTACTAAAACAATGGTTCTTCAAATTATTTGTGTGGTTAAAGTCACAAAAGCGTATAGTTGACGTCAAAGGCAACTATATTTTTCTCTCAGTGTAAGTTACGCTTTGTCGACAATGTTCGAAAAGAAATACTGAACGCATCTAAACGTACATATGCGTGTCTGAAAATCCCTGGAAAAGTCAATTGATTCTTTCTCGCCAATTTACGATAGTTTGATGTATAAACGCAACCGAAATATCAATAAATGACCGAGACGCCGATGACAAGATATGGCGATTTCAAATCAAACGGGAGGACGATAATGTGTGGCGAATGCACACGAGCGACACGAGCTGTAATATTCCTGCCGCGAATATATAACGACGATTCAAATTAATTAATATTTCAGATATTAATCCCTCTCTATTTTGCAAATAATATACTAATGTCGCAAAAAATTATTTCGGTCAGAAGCCCCTTATGGAGAATGTGCTGTTGAACGCTTAAATACAGCTTTTTCGTAATCAATTAATTTTTCCCCACATAAAATTTAATTGGTGGGAATATGTTTTCCTTGTACACTTCGTTTTTTTCCACTTCGTATATTCCTATTAAAAAAAGAATAAATAAAATAAAATATCTTGTATGAGACATATAAATTGCTGAAAAATATTAATCCAAATATCAAAAGCCAATATCAAAACCTCCTAAAAACAGTATGAAAATAGTATGTTAATATTAAGAATGTATATTAAAATTAGTGAAAATAGTATGTTAATATTGTGAAAAGTATTATTTCAGTCTTTTCCCTAAAATTATTGTCGTTGAACGCTCAAACACAGCTTTGCCAAGATCAATTTTTTTCTTTGTATAAAATTCAATCAATGAATATTAAATATGTTTTCCCTGCATTCCGTTTTTTTCCTTTTCAATTCCGTATAGTAACATGATTTCTACTAAAAAAATAAACGAAATAAAATATTTCGCGTGAGGTATACAGATTGCTGTAAAATATGTGGATATAAAGTGTAAGCTTGTTTTTCCTCTCCAGTGACATTTTTGCGTAAAATTCAATCGATAAATCACGATTCCTTTCAGTCAGAGTTGCCTGCTGTACATGGGAACGCAGATAGCGTCCGGAATGAGATTCCTCGAGTCGAAGAATCTGGTACACAAGGACCTGGCGGCCAGGAACTGTCTCGTGGGTCGTTCCTACACCGTCAAAGTGACCGACATTGCGATGTGCAGTGATCTTTACAGAAAAGATTACAGCGATATCGGGGGTAGACCGCCCGCGCCAATCCGGTGGCTACCATGGGAGAGCATTCTACTGGTAAGATTTAGCGATCGTTATCTTAATATCTCAATCATTCTCCAAAATATTGCATAATTAAAGATTATCTCGCGATTAACTCGATTGAGACTAAAGATGCGAATCTCTATTTCTGTGAAGCGCAATAACGTGGTAATGTTTCAATTTCAGGACAGGTACACGTGCTCGAGCAGCATCTGGTCTTTCGCCGTGACGCTCTGGGAGGTGATGAGCTTGGCCAGGGAGAAGCCCTTCCAACACTTATCGAATGATCAAGTTATTCAGAACGCCGAGCATATGTATTACGGAGCGGAGCTGCAAGTAAGCGTTTCCCCGGTTTAATTGCCAACGACTGATCTACTCTCTAAATTTCTCAGAGTGAAAACGAGCGAAAAGTCGCGGCATTTTGACACGAAGCGACAGTGAAAATAATGTCATTCGAAATCGCAAGAGTGAATATTTCACTTAAGCTATTTCACTTAAAATAAACTCTGACTCCGTATAAATGATCGTTTCAATCGATTAGAATGAACACATTGTTGTGACAGTGGAATACATTAGATTCACTCTTCAATTTCGAGTGAAAATATCTATTGGAAGGTTCAAAACAAAATTCATTCTGTTTAAATAATTTTTCATTCATAAATCATAAATCAATTATCATCAGTGGGAAATCGCTAAAAATTGTGTAACTCGATTATCACTCCACTTTTCGAGCGAAATTTTGCTCCAAGAAACTTAGAAAATAACGCGTTCTTCGTTGTCATGGGAGATTTCCAGACTCCCTCTTAATCAAGAATAAACAATCGACCAAAAATTACAATTAAAAATCGATCAACGCGCCTTCTAATTCTCCTCGGACACTTTCAGATACTTCTACCGAAACCAACCATGTGTCCGGAGGAGGTGTATCGGATGATGTGTTCATGTTGGAGAAGAGACGAGACATCGCGACCAACCTTCAAGGATATCTACACGTTCCTGAAGAACATAATAGCGGACTATCGACCCGGTGCATAAGAGTAATCTCGAGTAAACTGTGATACGGAAACGGACGTCTCCTTCGGATGCGACGACGACGACGACGACGACGACGACGACGACCCTCTTCTCCCCCTGCCCGCCCTTAAGATGGGTGGTCGAGGCTCGCGCGAGATCAGATGTCTCGATCGACCTCGATCTCGGTCAGAGGTCCTCCGGGAAATGTACAATCGTTAGTTTTTAGACGCACGTATGTGTCGAAGACGAGCTCGCGCCACGACACGTTCTCCGATGCGTGTGTCCCTCCTTCTCCTCTCTTCCTATTCCTCCTCTTCCTCCTCCTCTCTTTTCCAACTAAAAGGTTCAACAGAGATTGCGAAAATCGCGACCACAAACGCGGCTCGGCAACGATAGGAAGAAACGATCTCCCGCGAACGTTATCGCTCTATCGTCCGGACGAGAAGACGATAACGTAGTCGACATCGTGATCGGAGCGAGCACGTCGTCGACACAGGGAGCGCGAGAGAGACGTCCGAGTATCACGCGCAATATTTGTTCATCCAGATACGCGAGATAATCTCGTCTCTCTCGTCGCCGAGCGCGACAACTGCGTTCTTCGATCGCGTGCGTAAGTGAGTACGTGCGTATGTCGTACGTGCGTACGTGCGATCAACCTCGTCTGGACGTCTAATGGAACTTCATGGAATATTTTCTAGTCAGTACGAGTCTTTGATTCTCACGGAAGTGCTATCGTGTACAGTATTCTGACATTAATAATGTGTAATATGTAACTATGCTACTATGCTCAGTACCGAATACAAAAGTCTATCCATTTGTACATACGAAGGTCTAGGTCTTAAATGATAGGTGAGCGGAAATTTTTACGGCAGTAGGTGTGTCACGACGGTTCGCCACAGTTCGTTTAGCCCGGGGCTCCCCCCCTCCCCTCCCGACAACCCCTGCACGGAGAGAATTTTGTAATACAAATTATTATTGAATTTCTCCCAACCGGCGAAAACACCACGACGTTCCGCCTCAATTTGTTATCCTCATATTTCTTGTGTGCTACTTACTTAGGATTGGATAAATTATTGGAAAAATTAATGTACTTTTTTTCAACTAAATTAAGTCTAAAATTAATATCTTGTAAAATAAACTTTGTTAGATTAACATTAATATACATAAGTAAAAACCAACTTAATAAAAAGTTGGAATAAAATTGAATTAGCTTGTTGAAACTAAAAGTTATTTATGCAAAGCGATATATGTATATGTTTTTTGCATAATTAACTTTTTAATCATAGCTTAAATTTATGTGAAATAATAAAAGAGTAGTCTTTATAAGAAAATACCGACTGTCTTCTGTTCAGGATTCCACACAAAAAGAAAAACATTGAAAGTCTGAGATATGAAGAGATGCTACTGGTATTATTTCTGACTTTTTTTACATTGTAAGTGGCCCACAATGATATTAATATCGATAAAATATTTCAATTTATATAAAAAAGTTAATAAGTTAAAGTTGACGTAATTAAAAAAAATAATTTAAATTAAAAAACTAGTTTAAATGAAAAATTGACTTATTCAAAACTAAGTTAAAAGTCATGGACTTTATATTTTAAGAACTGATGTGTGACTATTAAAAAATTTGCTATATTCCTTAGCCAGATAAACTCCACCGATATAATCCACACTTACATCGCTGGGAAATACGGTAAAATTGAAAAGAATTTATATGACAAGAGAAAACCCAAGACAAGACATAATTATCATATATGTATAATTATAGGATGCTACAATATCCTCTCCGTGTACGGGAAAGTTTTACACACATTCTCTCTTTCTCTTTCTTTCTCGGACTCTTCCTCGCTGGCACAGTTTTGCGCGGAAAACTACGCGAGGCCGCGTAAACCGTAACTGTTTTCCAACTTAATTCGCAAACGCGGCGGATTAATTGCTCAAAGTGTAAAAAGAAAAATAAAGCATCCGTGGGCAAAAAGTACAGCAGAAACTAGGCACTTCTCGCGAGCGATATCTCGCGAGCGAGAATAGATGTTTAGTCGGTAAAAGAGAGAAGAAGAAAATACACACAGGTGTGCGCGCGAACGCGAGCGCGAGATAATTTCGTTTGTACACAGCTTGGCCGTCTTTACCACACGCCCTAAAAATTTCGAACTTAGTAGACTTGTACATTTCAAGTGGCCATCAGTAGCGAGTACTTATCATCCTCCATTGTTCGTTTTTCCACTCGGGAAACTGTACTGTGTTGTAAGAGACGTAGGGTTTCGCGCGTGTGTTCTTCCCGAGAGCATAACATGAGCGCACCTATCTTCCACTCGTTTTTATTTACGATTAAGCGCATGAGAAAATGCTAAAGGACATTCTAGCGACCTGAGTATCATGCTTTGGAAGGAATCAATAAAAATTAAAACAACGCCACACACGCACACACACGTGTCTGTTGAATTTTTCCGACCGTTGTGCACGGTGGAGGAGCCTGCCTGAACGAGCGACGTGAAATGAGAGATCTCGTGTAAGAAACGAAACGAAAAGAGAGAAGAATGACTAATTGATTTATGCTTTCGATTTGTCAGCGGCGAATACCCGTAGTATTAATCGTTCGCGAAGTTACATTGTAATTTTAACACGATACATGTATTGTAATTCGACGTGTCTTATTTTTCGTCCTGTAATTGATTCGTGTGTCATTACAAAGTATGTGCGACGACTCGCAGACATGCGATGATGGATAAAAGAATAAATTTGGGAGAGAGTAACGTTCGAACGTCCTGACCTTTGTTATCCGAGCACAGATCGGACAAACAGGTTGCCAGACGCATCTTATCGACGATAATTGTTTGTTAATTTTACGAGTATCAGATGTGAACAAGCAAGCTGGATATCGATCTCAATCGACGGTTCAATCTCAGCTCGCGAGAGTGCCTGATAATGAATCGATTTCTGCAGGGACAACAACGTGTGAAGCTATGAGGTAATGGAAAGTTCTTCCACTTCCTCTACACTCCTTTTTCACTCCTCTGCAAGAAAAGATCTCACTATAGATCTCGAAGATATTTCCCTCCGTTCGTCCGATAGACCCTCTAACCTTCTTATCTCGAGCAAGGACAGTTCTCAAATGTAAATGTCAAAAGATTCCGCTCATAAAGTGCTCCGCTGATTCATTGTACGAAATAGTGAAAGAGAGAGATCGACACACGATAAAGTTCTATTTTAAACACTTTGAGCGTACTGAGAGAAAAAATGGTTGATCCCATCGAAAAGTACAGTTATTTTGGGCGCCAACTATATCTTCTTGTTGTTGTAATAAAAAAGTGTAGTAACACTGAAAGAATATATTTGAAAATTTATTTAATTTATTTTAATATACAAAGTTTATTTCTGCACTGAGGGAAAAATTATCTTAAAATCAACATATATTTTTTTGATGAGTGCCATTAACATATTTACTTAAATCTAAATTCTCTTTATTTAAATCAAATATTATTTACCTGATTTAAGTAAACAATATTTGGTTTAAATAAAGAGAATTTAGATTTAAATAAATATGTTAATAGCACCCATCAAAGGAATATTTGTTGATTTTAAGGTGATTTTTCCCTCAGAGTGTGAAATAGAAAAACTATATATTTCCCACAAATAAATTTTCAATTATTTTTCTTTCAGTGCATATAAAGTTTTATCATCACTATAGTAACACTTGATATAAAAAATGCTTCTGCTGATTATAATTCTTTCACTATGTAATTATAGTCACAAATACCGAACGTTTTTTTCTCATTGCGCTAAATGTGTGTTTTAATACTAACAAAAAAAGTTCGCGAACCTAGAATTTCTTCATTTACTGAAACTTCACATGCATGTACGTGGGCTAAATAGATGTATTTATAAACTTTTCGTTGAGTCGAAAAACAATTATAAGCTGCAAAACCACCTCTAAAATATAGAATGAGCTTTTGACTTTTTTCGCAGTGGTTTGTTTAAAACGTCTTTACAATTCCAACAGAAAATTTCTAAATTCATCTATTTAGTCTATCTACATGCATGGAAAGTTTAATTAATATCGACAAAAATATTTGATTTCACGGAAGAATTCCAAAAACTACGTCAAGATCTTTTTTTCTTCTTTCGATGTATCGTGCAGATTTTTCGATTTTTGAAATGGATTTTATATTTAATTCGTATATCTCTCTCTTACACAAAAATCGAACCTAATACTTCTTAGACTGAGAGAATCAGAAGGATGCGGATTTCTTGAAACACTTAAACATACTCGTTGAAAGTAGCAATTGTTTCTTAAAAATGACCCCCTGCAATCGATAATTTATCCCGACATAATCTCATATTATTTGTTCTATATGCGAAGCTTTCAATAATTATTGACACACTAATGACACGATAAGATAAAACGTTGAAAAATAAGGAGAAAATTCTCGTTTTCAAAATCACAATGTAACCTCATGAGATCTATGACAAACATATTTTTTTTCCATTCAAGTCTTGACGCACATAAGTACTTTCCTTGAGAAGAAGTTTAATGAGTATTTGTCACTCAGTCATTGAAAGATATCGATGCTGTTTGATAAGTTACGTACTTGTGGAATCGCGTGATGAGATTTGGAGAAAAGAGAAAGAGAGAGCGAGAGAGAGAAAGCGCTCGAAGCGAGCTTCAAGTCCAGTTTCAAGCCCAATTGCACAATCGCTTAGAGAATACTATTTTCTGCATTATAACGAACTCTTTCTACCATGGTACAATCGGTTTAACGGACTTTCGGCCTTGTTATCACCTGACAATTGTACTAGCATATTGCGAAAACGCGCAAAACTATCGCGATGCTGGTACCGCAGATTTCACGTGAGCGACTCAAGTTCCGCTCGAATTAGTAACAATCAAAGAGCCGGAGCAAAGTAAAATTTCATCGAGAGAAAAAGAATAGAAACAAACAGAAAAAGAAGATGTAGTTTCTATATAATTTCATTCATCGAATATTCATCAGCGGCTATCGATCATCTGCGATCAGTCAATCTACGAGACAGATTTAAACCGGTATATGTGCACAAAAGATATATCTAAATTTTGAGTAGTATTATTTAACCGACTGGAACAAGAAAGGAGGATGCTAGTTTATCCTATATGTATTGTTCCCTCATAACTCAAGAACCGTTACAGAATTGAGGTGAAACTTTTGGCAACCTGTATAAAATGCTATCTATATGGTTCTTAGATTACTGTCATTATCCGCGTCTGTGCAGGTTTAATGACCTGACAATTGAACAATTCTATTTCTTTCTTGAAAATCCGAGAACACAAGACGAAACTTTTATTTTTAACCGACTTCAAAAAATGTTTTTCAACTTTAGGAACAAGCTTTTAGTAAATAACTAAAAAGGAGGAAATAAAAAGAAAAATAAACCGCCTTCAAGAACCTCAAAAATTGTGAAAATTTTAAAACTTTTAGAACTTTTGAAGTCCCAAGTGAAAATAGAGCAATTTCTAGCTAGAGATAAAGAGAAGAAAGTAACAGGTTAGAAATTTTGGTTATTAATTATACTGAGAAAAAATATTTTAAAATTTATTTATGGGATATAAAGTTTATTTAACAGAAACAAATTTTATTCCTCAAAAATAAACTTTATATCTCACAAATAAATATTTAAGTATTTTTTCTCAGTGCAACTTCTAGCTAAGGGTAAATACTTAAAAATGTATTTGTGAGATATAAAGTTTATTTTTGTGAGTAAATTTTATATAGATAAATTTTCAAATATTCTTTTTTCTAATGTACACTGAGAAAAAAATATTTCACAATTTATTTGTGGAATATAAAATCTATTCACAGAAAAATAAACTTTATTTCACAAAAAAAAACTTTATATCCCTCAAATTTTATTTTCAAAATTTTTCTTTAATATAGTGACCAGTTCTTGCCGAAAATTTTTCTATTCAGGTTCTTAAAGGCAGTTTATTTTACATTGTTATTCGCAATGTTAATTTTTCATCGTTATCGAAGCATCGTAAAAAATTACCAATACCTTGATAACAAGTAATTTTTTACGATGTTTCGGTTCCTCAGAGGCACTTTTGGACGATTCAACGAATTCAGGAAACCCGTTATACGTCGCAACTGATCGTATTAGATTATCAGTTATTATGCGTGTGACTCACGAAGATACGAAGTATTGTTATCTAACATCACATAACGACTAAAGAGATACGATATGTCAGCGCGATACAAGAATCGCTCACATGCACACGGTGTGAGTGTGTCTGCCGTCCGTATACGCGAACGTGAGTGTGTACATATCGCGTAACACCAGCCGCTTACATTTATATAATGGCAGGGTCCCCGGGAAAGTCACATCAGTAAACTGTCGTCGGCTGTCAGCATCACCGCGAGCTACTCCGAAACCACCAGCACGACAATGAAAACCTGCACGATCGTCTTCGTTGCCCTCGCGGCCCTCCTTCTCTACACCGGTAAGTTATGCATTATGATATTTTATGCGCGGAATTGAAAACTTACAAGATATCAGTGGTCTGTCCACATATGGAATTGAATTCAAACGATATCTTGCTTCTAATTTCCATGGTCCATTTTCCTTTTCTACTCGGACATTTCAACGCGTGTTATTAACAATTCGTATCATCGATTTCTTTTTGTACTCTATAAATTATTTATAATGAAGTCTTAAAATAAATGGAAACTCATTCGAAGCGGCAGTGAAAATACTGTCACTCGAAATAGTGAGATTTTTCACTAGAATAAATTTTAACTTTGTATGAGAAGTAATCTGCAAGAATTCATTCTGCATGGATGAGGAAAAATAATTTAAGTGACTACATTGTCACTCTACTTTTCGAGCAAAATTTCACTCTACACTGAAAAAAGTTACTCAAAAATTTATTTGTGAGTTATAAAATTTATTTTTGCGAAATGAAATTCGTAGACACCACAAACACTATTATCCTCCCTATCCTAGATATTTGCACGAACATCCAGCATTGGCTCTTATTAGCCATATTTATTAAATTTAGGTTGTTACCTATAGAGTCTAAAGATTTATTTCATTTCAAAGTGAAATTTATTTTTAAAAAATAAAGTATCTTTTTTTTGTAGAAAGAGAGAAAGAGAGAGGAATCACATAATATACATCTCACAAATAAATTTTCAAGTATTTTTCCTCAAAACAAGAAATGAAATATAAAGTTTGAAATATTAGCATACCTTATCTAAAGAATCTCGTTATTTCGTCAAACAACTTAATTAACTTTTTCATTACTGTTTTCCCCGTTTTTGTATATACATTTCTCGTTAATAATATTAGTACATATTAATATATAAATATACTCTATAACATATTAATATATAAATATACTATACATATTAATATATAAATATACTATATAATCTATAACTATACTCAACGCGACTTAGAAATTTGTGTAATTGTATAATGGAAGCTGCGTGTTGACGACTTATGAGAAATAGGCAAAACCAATCGCTGATACACGTAATTCTGAAGCTAACTTTCAAATATAAATAGAATAATATAAACAGAAACTTTTTTCTGTTTGGAAGATACGAAATATTCGTATTTAACGTACACAAACCTTATTGTTCCTAAAGCAGTTTATAATATCTAAGAGAGAGCATCAAAATTATCAAACTTTAATTTATTATATTTTCTAAATCAATATCATCTTTTACCTGATCTTTCTTGCAAATTATTTCTAAATATCACTCTTACAATATATATATCAATTTCAATAAAATCAGTGAGATGTAACCTTTTATGCATATTTACCCAATAATTTGTCATAAATGCTCGCACATCGAAGCAAATTGGAATTTGTATTATATTGTCACATTTTATTCTTTTCTTCGTTATTTTATACACGGCGACTTCAATATGCTTATTTCAACCCGACCGTTAAAGGTTCAACTCATTACGAGCTAATATTTAACCGCACGGTTCATTAAGTTAAAACGCAGAACAAAATGTACGGTTATTTTTAAACCCGCACGGAAAAAAAATGTTGTTGAATTAACCAAATCTCTGGTCGAATATGAACGATCCAGAAATTCCGATTGAAGTAACCCGAATTCTGTTTAAGTTAACAAGATTTTTGGTAGACTAACCAAATATATCTGATTATTTAACCAGACATGTCTAGTTAAATAACCAGACATGTTTAGTTAGTCTACCAAAAATTTTGTTAACTTAAGCAGAATTCGGGTTACTTCAATCGGAATTTCTGGATCGTTCATATTCGACCAAATATTTGGTTAATTCAACAAAATCTTTTTTCCGTGCGACAATGACTGTTTTCAATTCGCGGTGCGACAAGGAAAAATTCGCAAGGCCATCGAGATATAATCTCGCGAATCTGTTTTTAGGGTACGTCAGCGCGATGGAATTGTGTCCCCAGGAGAACTGTCTCACCCCTTTCAAGTGCGAACAAGAGATCAAGAATCTAAATGTTCAATGCTTCGAACAGGGTACCTCGTGCTGCAGCATAGGTAAGTTAGCCCTTCGGGCCAAAATCGACTCAAACTAATCCGGCCACTCGTCAAACGGATAAAATATACGCACAACTTCGTATGCCGTCGTATAAGTATGTCGCGGTATCACGGATAATTTCGCGACAAAAACGCGTCCTTGTGCTAACGATAATTGGCTAGCAATCTCTCTCGTGAAGAACATTCGATTAAATCGCGCGGTGATTAAATATGCCCACCCTTGATAGACTATTCATTGAACTCGATTTTGGTTCCCTTTTCAATTATTTGTCACGATTGTTATCTCATGACAATCTCATTTTTTCTTTTTTCTCAGAAGTTTCCCAAGAAACGCATTCCCTTCACTTGTATTATGTTAACTTCATTTGTATCTTTTTTTGCAACAAAGCACACGTTCTGTCTTGCGATTATCGTATGATGCTAAGGATTCATTAAATAAAATTACATGAAACGATTCAATTACACGACTTCTCGCGGCGAAGTGTGATGTAACATTTCTCTCTCGCGTTTCTAGATCAACAAATTAAGATGTTGCGTTTTCTTACAACATATTAGAGCGTGATTTATCTTTCTGCATAATTCAACGTTGCAAATTCCGAATTCCTACGAGTCTAGGGATTAATTTATGCGTTACTTTCACGCGGCAGAAACAAGTCAAACTGCACATTTAATGAACGTTTCTCTCTTTCTCTTTTAATATAAATTCTTTCATTTTTACAGTTAAAGACGAATTCCGAACTCACTGTCGTCATTTCGGCGGAGAGTGCACGAACAGCTGCCCCCCGTCTCTGTTGCACGAGACCGTCGACTGCACAAACGGGCAAATCTGCTGCGTGTTGGTTTAAAAAATTATAGCGCGGCAAAACCAGTAACGTATAATCTCACTCCGATCACGACGAAAGGATTCTGACGACAGGACTCTGACATATAATTTAATCGTAAGCTAGAATATCGGGAAAAGAAATGTTATTCAATATCTCTCGCGACAGATAAAGCTGCCCAATGAGGTACGCTTTATTGTTTGACTTTCCCGTTGGAAAATGTATTTCTCTCGAAAGAGTTGACTCATATCACCTTCGGTATACCACACTGTCGCGTGAAAGACCTAATTGGATTTGTATAATTATGACGGTAATAATTTTGTTTATGATAATTAATACGATTATGACATGTTATTGTAACGACGATAATTGCCAGCCGAGAGAGGAATCGTTTCAGAAAATCCACGTAAAATATGCAGAAAAATATGTCACCGGAATATAATGCGCATCGACTGAGAACGCGAATTAATTACGAAAAGATACGCGGTTGATACGCTGTTAAAATAAACTTCACTCGCAAAGTACAAATTGTCGCCAATCTGAAAACGTTCGTGAAACCTTAAAGATTCTGTGAGTTTCAATACGAGAATCGAAAAGACACAGCAATGCAACGATCGATTTCAATTAATTCTTTACGGCGTGAAACTCCTTCCAAACAAGCGACTCATCTCCGTGCTGCGCAACAAGCTATGATATGTAATACAACTTTATGTGCGATCGCAGCAATGCTTGCGATATAATTGAGCTTTAAACATTTTTAATAAAATTCTCTCATAATGTTGTAGTTACCAAAATCACTTGTCTCGATTTATTCTCCATCTAACCTCTTCCAAATCTATTCTCGAGATTCCTAATCCCGCGTCTAATCCTCAATCGCAAAAAATAGGACGTAAAAAATGGAATTAATTAATGTGGTTATCGGAAATTGACATATTTTTGTTTTATACAGAAACATTTCTTATAAAAATCATATAATTTTTCGCGATGAATAAAACTTTCTCTCCCACTTTCTTCTCCGGTAAATGTTTCGTGTAAACTCATGATTTTATTTCGCGGTAGATATTTTCGAAAAAATAAATGATGTCAAATGTATACAAAAATCATTCAGATTAGTTCAAAGACAAAGAGCTGTATTAACAATAATCATTTGAAACTTGTCTCGAATAAAAGATTCAGATTTGAATTTAGAGTTACGCGTGAATTTTTCAGCTGAATCATAATTACGCAAATGTATAATATCACGTAAATACGTCATATATAATACAGCTAAAAAATTTCAGTTCTAACTCTAAATTCCGATTTAAGTATTTTACGCGAGATAAGTTTTAAGCAATGACTATATGAGCCGAAGTCACGCGAGATTTCGCTGTGGATAAAAAACAAAATCACGGAAGATAGTCGCATGCTTGAGATCAGCGAAATTACGATCGTTATCTATACGATATCTTGGACAATTCATCGACAACAACGCATCATTATGCAACTGAAAGTTATTACGACGGCTCACCTACAAAGAAGATTCGACTAAATTAGATTAAATATGCTAAATCGACAGATTGAAGGATTAAATCAGACGGCAAACTACACGCAAGATGATCCGCGTTAATTCGCGTTAATAAATGAAATTAGAACGATCGCCGACGAGTAGCTACCGCGCGTTTCCGGCATTGCATCCTTCGCACGCGGGCCGAATAATGATAATTTCGTAGGGGAAAGTCGGCAAGGGGAACGAGGGAGAGGGAGCGTAAGAAAACAAGGGTAAAGAGAGGGCAAGCAGGCATATACTGTGTGAAGTTTTATCCGGAAAGAAAAGTTCGCCCCGAGCGAAGGCGAACCAAGGCGGTTGACAAGAGGTCGGTCAAGGAACAAGAGAAGCGGCCGAAAGGAAGAGGACGGGCGCGGGGAGTGAGAGAAAAAGAGTAGAAGAGAAAGAAGGCACGAGGAAAGGAGAGGGCACTCCTCGCCATGGGCGATGCAACCAGAACGTAGGATAATACGCGTATATCTGCGCACTTATATATAAAAGTGGTATTGGTTAGCCCACGACGACCAGAGTAGAGGATACGTGAAGTTAGTACCTCAATTTTAAAATTAATTCTGATTAGAATTCCAGCAATATCTGTTTGTAAAAATTCATCAAATTTCATAATTCTTCTTCCTACACGAATATTTTCCAATTATGCACAAGATATTGTAAAAGTTAATATTTTTTTTATTTTTAAAAGAAATATTTCATAAGCAAAATGCAGCAGAAAACCATTAGCTTCTACATTTTAATTTAGATAAGTCATGCCCGCAAATATAAAGACACACACAATCCAATTGACAAATTTTCTTGAAATTTGAAAATCATATCACTGAAAAACTCTAGATAATACAAAAAATCTGCTGGCATTTTTAAATTCAGCGTGAAGATATTATATGGGTCACATAATTTGATACATATAACAAAAAAACTTTTTACAGACTATTGTTACATGTTCTCTAATATTAAAATTAAAAAATGGAATTAATTAATTTGACTGCTAGTGGATGCATATCCTTGTTTCACACAGAGATATTTGTTATAAAAATCGTATAATTTCTAGATGAATAAAACTTTCTCTTCCTCTTTTTTCAAAATTTCTCAATAATGTTTTATGACAGTTCATAATTTTATTTCACGATGAATATCGTCGAGAAATATACGACGTTTGATATGTAAAAATATCACTCAAATTAGTTCAGTCGATCAGACAGAGTCACATCGAGGTTTCGCCGCGGCCCAAGAATAAAAAATGACAGAAGATAGTCCCATGCTTCAAAGTTACACGATGGATGTTACGTAATAAACAAACGATACGGTCGCTGTGGTGGCAATGAAGACAAGCCAAAGAAAGCGCCGATGAGTCACGGGACTTGGCACCGCGCGTGCGATACCGCTGTTCTCATTTCCGCCCGAGCGTTTCCCCTGTCGTGTAACGCGCGCAATTGAAAAATATGCGCAGGAGGGAGGAGCGGGAGAGGGACGCAGCGGAGAAGAAGAGAAACAGCAAGAAGAGGACGAAAGAGGAGGAGGCGAAGAAGAAGAAAAAGCGCACGTCGCCGGGGGCGATACGGGCAGATGCCAATATGAGACGGTGCGCGCACTTACACACGTACGCGCGCGAAGAGCGGCGTTTCAGTCGGCCTGGGGATGAAAGCGCATAATATTACGCGGGTAGAACAAGAGGGGAGAAGCGCATCCCCCTCTTACCAAGCATTCCGGCCGCCCCGCGGGCACCGAGCAGAGAAGGACACCCTCGGGGGGTGCCGCTCGTTCCAAGATACGAAGAAGCGCGCTGGAGACTCAACGAGAGCGCGCGATAGCGAAACGGCGATAACATATTATCTTTCGCGCGCGAGCTCTCGAACGCTCGGAGCGAGCGAAACGGAAAGTACCGGCGAAGAAGTTTGAAAGTAAATTTCGCGAAGCGCGCGGCGGAAAACGCCCGCGGTGGTAGATTATCCTAATCTCATTATTTTTCTTACGATAAATGATGCCATCAAGCGCAAGTAGAATGCGAAGTTCAAGAAGACGAAGAAGGAGGGAGGCACGTGGAGGAGAGCAAGAGGAGGGCAGGAGGATGAGGGAGCGGACAGGAGGACGAAGGAGAAGAAGAAGAACAAGAAGAAGGGGTGGCACGCCCCGCCGCGGGCGATGCAGGCAAATGCCGTCGATGCGGTGGTGCATGTAGCCGCGTGCATGCACGCACGCATGCACGCGCGCATTCACCTACACGTGCTATTCGCACACACCCCTATCAGCATACACACACATATACACACTGACGCGTTAATACATGTACGTATAGGGCGAGTCGTTTCGGCTAGCCCGCGGCTGAAAACGCGGGATAGAGCGCGCAGCGTGGGAGAAGAAGAAGGACGCCGTCCTCTCGCCTTTCTTCCTCCCGCTCGCTCTCTCTCTCTCTCTGTCTCTCTCCCGTGCGCTCGTTCCTATCGTTGTGCAGAAGGTGCCCGCGGGGGTAGACGCGCGGTGCTGCACCCCACCATGAAGTGGTGGCGCGGCGGAGGCGCACGGTCGTTCCGCTGCGGGCGCGGAAACGAGAGGAGATAGCGGCGAGCTTCGTCCTCTCCAGCTTCGTGTCCCAGTGAGAGAGGTGGTCGAAGGGCGAAGTGGAAGGTGGAGGACGGGGAGCGGGGAGAAGAGAAAGAAAGAGAGGGGGGAGGGCAGAAGGGAGAGAGGGACCTATACCGCCCCGAGGATATCCAGCGAGACAATGCGCTCCGTGACGCCGCGAGCGACTCCAAGGCAGACCGTAGTTCTCCCTCGTTTTCTGCTCCCTCTTTCCATCCTGGCCTCTGGCGATTCTTCGCTCTTCCGTCTCGCTTCTCTCCCCCTCCCTCTCAACCCCGTTCCCCTCCACCAGCCCCTTCCTCGTCCTCTTGTTTCTTCTCATCCTTCTTCTTCTTCTCCTCCTCACTTTCTTCTTCGCCGACCCGCGCCCTCCCCCTACCCTCCTTGCCCTTTCGTTCTCTTTCCCGCTCCACAGCGGCGCGCTTTCCACTCACTATTTACACGAACTTTCGGTGATACCGTAATTACTTATTACGTGAGATATGCGCAAAGATGGGTGGGAAATCGGTATTTTCCCTTTTTCCAAAATTACATCGAAACGATGAAAGGCGACGTTTGTAGGTCTCGCTTGCGTACCGGCGATTGGGTTTGATCGATCGATTACCCTCTTAGACTTGTAAAGGTAAACTCACGCGAATTAGACAATTTGGTTCTTCTTGTTCATTGTTTTGTGCGATTTGAATGTTAATCAAGGAGCCTCTTATAATCATATTTAACCTTTTTTTTGGAACCTTCTCTTTTACCTCGGATTATCATTCAACGAAGTTAAAATCGTTCAACCTCTGAGTCGACTTAAGTGGCAGGAGAATTTCACGAGAAACAGGGGAGGAAATGGGGGCGCGAACGCGATCTTATTCTTTCGACGTGTCCGCCTGTTCGTACAACGTGCTCGCTTTAATCGACCACATTCGCGACTCTCTCGACGGTTTCCTCGTTACGATCTCATATCTAAGTGCTAGCGGATTACCGCGCGAATCGTTTTCCGCGGGCGGCCTCGCTCTGTTTCTCTCCCTTTCTCTCTTTCTCTCTCTGGATGTTCCCCGAGCGCGTCTCATTACTTCCCTCTAAATCTCCGCGGCTGTTTCCGCCGTGTTTCCACGACGTAAAATTTCTAGAATGTCACCCCAATTGCAATAAAGCGTTCTTCGGCGTCCTTCTACACCCGCTCTCAACCTCCTCAACCTAGCACCACCTCCACCTCCTCTGTTACGTTCTCTCTTCTGGTGCACGCTCGCTTGGAGGGAGTAACGATGCCCCGGAGCGGGCCTCCGCGGCGCGGCACCGTAGTAACGATAAGCAACGAAATGAAATATTAATGAAGTACCTGAGCGCACGTCCATTTTTCGCGGGCGTCTCACCACCGACGCCTCGGGTGCCGAAGAAAAAGTCGGTTGGCTCATCGGAAGTAAAAGAATCATCGTCGGGGAACGCAGGAGGAATGGAAGAAATGAGAAAGAAGGACAGAGAGAGAGAGAGAGAGAGAGAGAATTGACATACGTCGTCACCGTGACGTCTCGATCGTCGTCACGACGTGCACCACCGACTCGACGATGACGAGTTCGCAAGATGACGATCTGATCATCGCAAGATCGCCGTCTCGTCGTCTTTGTCAATTCGTCCGCGAGGATTTACGCGGGGTCGCCGAATCAATTTGCGCAGAAGCATTACGCG